GGGGCCGCCGGACACGGGAGGGCAGTGGAGAAGTGTGCAAGGACAGGACCCCCAGAGGGGTCTGCCAGAGAGACTGCAACAGGCCGACTGAGTGGCGTAAGTGTGGTGCGGTCTCGAAAGAAGGAGCGGGAAGCCCCTGAGTCAAGGGTAAAGGTGTGGGAGGCCGTAGCCGACGCAGTACCTGAGAGAGCAGACTCACCAGCACCTGAGGAAGCAGACTCACTGGCACCTAGAGCAGCAGCCTCACCAGTACCTAGAGCAGCAGCCTCACCAGTACCTAGAGCAGCAGTACCAATGCCCGGGTCGGGCGGAAAACACCGGTAACAGTCACCCTCATCACTAATAGTCACAGCATACATGGCAGCAAGAATAGCATCATAATCAAGATCAAAGATAGGAACCCCCGCCCTAGACAGCTCGCCCCAGCGAGGGATCTCAGTGGCCTCAGGGAACTGGTGACGCCAAGCGTCCGTCAGGCGGCCAAAGCAGCGCTGGGTGGAGTGCGAACCCCCGCACGGCTCACCCGCGCGGTCGCCGGTGCGCAGGACGTAGGTACACGGACCAGCACCCCCACCTCGCTGACGTGCAGCGTACCACTCACGAAGCTGCTGAGGGGGAGGGATCTCACGGGTACGCTGCTGCTGCTGCTGCTGCTGGCGCGGACCACCACCGGAGCCGACCCTCTGCGCAGCGCCACCCCGACCAGCTCCACCTCCTCCGCCGCTACCTCCTCCACCGCCGCCACCTCCGCCACCTCCGCTCCCACCGCCACCGCCGCCGCCGCCTCCACTGCCGCCACTGACGCCCCCACCCCCACCACCACCCCCACCGCCACCCCCACCCCCTCCACCGCCTCCACCGCCGCCGCCACCGCCCCCGCTAGCTCCTCCAGCTCCCTTGCCCCCCTTGCCCTTGCCAGTGCGGCGTCTCCCGCTAGGGGCAGACGCCGCACCGACCGACTCAAGACCAACGAGGTCGGCCGCAGCAGCAGAGGCAACAGAGGGCAAGAGGGGAGAGGGGGAGCACCCCTCAAAGACAGGGGCACGAGGGTCACCACGAGAGGCTCCTACAGCGACTATGCTCTTCTCTGCCGCTAGGAGGCGCTCCTCGAGGAGATCAACGGTGAGGGTGGTGGGGCAAACAGAGAGAAAGTGGTCCCTGACCGGGCGAAGGGTGTCAGGGAGCCGGGTGACTATGTAGTAGAGGGTGATGTACATAGGGGGGGGGTTCTTGGCGCAGAACTCAGCGGGAAGGGCAGCGCGGTAGCGAATGTCACTAGTGCGAAGGTGCGTAATGAGGTCAGCGACTGTGGGAAAAGCTGCGAGGTCAGGGAAGAGGTACGGCATGATGAGGCGGCTAAGTGCAGCAGTGGCAGGGGAAGAGTAGCGTGCAACTACAGCGTCGTACAAGGTCCTAGCACTCTTGTACTGGCTAAAGTGTGCACGCTCAGAGGTAGGCAAGTGGCGACGCACAGCAAGACGTGCAGCAGCATCGCGTGTGGCCCACTGTGAGCGAACAGTGGCGTCAGCATCAGCAGCAGGGGCAGGAGAGGCACCAGAAGTGAGGTCAAAGAGGGAGAGACCGTCTGCCCTATCGCACTGTAGGAAAAGCTGCAGGTCATCTACCCAGACGTCAAAGTCAATGGCCCGACCCTCAGCGTCAAAAGCGAGGACACTGGGGGTAGCCATGACAGCAGTAGACTTGCAGCGCGAGCAGTAGGCTAAGGGCAGTGCAGTGGTAGAGGTGCTGCTCTTACCGGGCAGGCGAGAAGGACCGAGGCTCGCCGGCAGGAACAGGGCCGCGACGGCAGTGACCGGGTGTAGCGGACAGGGCGGCTCGGACGGCTCGGCGGCTCGGCGGCACGGCAGCAACAGCAGCTCGGCGGCTCGGCGACTCGGCGGCTCGGGCGGCTCGGGCGGCTCGGCGGCTCGGGCGGCTCGGGCGGCTCGGCGGTTCGGGCGGCTCGGGCGGGTCGGCGGGAGCGGCGGCTCGGTTGCTGCAGGGACAGTGGCAGCTGCTGCTGCAGGGACGACGGCGGCGACTGCTGCTGCAGAGACTGCGGCGGCCGCTGGTGAAGGGACGACGGCGGCGGCCGCTGCTCCAGGGAAGGCGGCGGCCGCTGCTGTAGTGGGCGACGGCGGGCCGCAAAAGGGGGGGGGCCGTAAGGGGCCGCGTGAGGGGCCGTAAGGGGCCGCTAAGGGCGGCGCGAGGGGCCGCAAGGGCGGCGGCGGGGCCGAGGAGCGGCGCGAGGGGCCGCAAGGGCGGCGCGCGGGGCCGACGAGAGGCGTGAGGGGCCGCAAGGGCGGCGCGCGGGGCCGACGAGAGGCGCGCGAGGGGCCGCAAGGGCGGCGCGCGGGGTCGACGGGCGGCACGAGGGGCCGTAAGGGTGGCGCGCGGGGCCGTAAGGGCGGCTCAAGGGGCCGCTAAGGGCGACGCGACGGTAGGGAGGGCACTCGGGGCGCGACTCGGGCAGGGGCGAAGCGCGCTCCGGGCAGGAAAAAAAATATCGAGGTGGGCCCTAGAGAGCGTTCCCACTAGGGAACCTGCTCTGAAACCATGTGAAAATGAAACGAGGAATGATTGAACTGAGCAGCATGAGAAGTACAAGTACCAAACCCTAAAGTGTTGTACCCCATATGAGCTACCCCACTACAGCCTACACGGACTATAGTGTATGAGTTTGACACTGACTACATCCTGCCCATCGTCTACGTAGACGATCTCCTCTACATAGGCTCCACCGACGACATAACAACCTGGTTTGAAGGGGAGCTACAGCGGGATCTCACACTCACCGTCGCGTCTACCGTGACACAGTATCTGGGACTCAACCTACAAGACGGCAAAAACACAATCTACCTCAGCACCGAAAAATACACAGACACCATCGCCAAACGCTTCGGACTAACTTCAGCTGCCATCACCACGCCATACCGTTACACCGACGGAAATCGCAACAAAGTCTCCGCCCTACTCAAACCCGCCGGAATTCGCGACTACCAACGAAAGCTAGGCTGTCTACTCTTCGCAGCCGTTACCTGCCGACCGGATCTATCTTACTCAGCTAGTCAACTCGCCACCTATCTCAAGAAGCCTGAAGCAGAACACATGATGGAGCTCGACCGTGCACTTCACTACCTCGTCAGCACCCCGACGATCGGTCTAACCTACCACAAGACCGGAACTACGACACCTAAATTAATCGGCTACGTCGACGCTGATCACGCCGGAGACTCTGACAACACGCGATCTCGTACCGGCTATATCTACCGGCTCGAACCTATCGGCCCTATTTCATGGCAGTCGAACAAGCAAGAGCTAATTGCTCTCTCCTCACCTGAAGCAGAATACATCGCACTCTGCTCAGCCACCAAGGAAGGATTATACCTTCGCGAATTGCTGGAAGAAGCAAAGTTGGCCCTGTTACCCAGCTTCTCCCTCTTCTGCGACAACCAATCGGCCATTCGCATAGCGAACAAAAATGGGTTCGCGAATCGAACGAAGCACATCGCCCTCCGGTACTTCTTCGTAAAAGACGAAATCGAGAAGGGAAGACTTGAGTTACCGTAATCACCCGGACATACCACCCGCCGAAATTGTAGACCCCCCGGGTGGCTTGTGCGGGGTGGGTGTTATAGTTGACCCCGTTTGTACTATACCCCCCCTTTTGGGGTGATTTTTTATAACACCCCCTTTTTTATACAGAATGCCTTATTTTAGGTGTTAACGAGTATGTGCAATGACGGGGGGACATCGCGACGATCACTTTTTGCACGAAATTACATGGTAATTTCGAAAGTATCTGCTGGGGTCACCTCCGTCCCACTTTTTCACTGTTGCCACGCTGGTAGTTCTTTCGCTATCAAGTGGCCAAAGAGGTGCCACCTCGCAACTTCAAGGAGTCAATGTTGTCGTCGAAACTGACAATCTCGCTTCCAACTGTGATGCTAAACCAACCTTGAAAACACCCAAGCTGCCTATTTATAGAAACCCTTACACTAAAAAAATGTCATATATATGCACCCGGGTGGTATGTAGCTTTTTCCTATGAGAAGACCCCCCCCATTTTTTTGCTGTATTTAAAGTAAGACCCTAGGGTGTTATGTCCGGGTGATTACGGTATCCTACTGTCCCACATCCGAGATGGCAGACGATTACTTGACCAAGAAACTCGGAAAGCAGAAGTTCGAGTATTGCATGCTGCTGATTGGACAAGGACACGTCATCAGCAGCGACACTCCAGAAGCGAAGGGGAGTGTTGGAAACCAGTAATTTAACGCTTCTGAAGTATCGAAGTATCGACACGAAACGGAGCAGACTACAGTGAAGCAACACGCGAGTCAATAAAAGTAACAGCTGGAGGTTACGCGAAGGTCAAAGGTCAGCGACCTTTGACTCGACGAAAAATACAGTGCGACATCAAGGACAAACAACTGACTCGATATTGAGCAGTTGCCCGAGTCGTCACTGTATCGAACCGCAACAGCAAAAACAGTTAAAACCGCACCTCTTCGTATTCCTTGTAATCATATATATATTCTTGTATCTCTTTGCTTTAATCAATTCATATTTCTCTCACATACTAGTGCAAGGTGGTTCAAGTAATCTTATTATTACGCTTCCGCAAATACAACATTCCTACAAAAGGTCTTAGCCTTGAAAAGATCCTAAGGGCTTTTTCTCAGCCCAACATGCGACACTTCAGAAGCGCGAACTATATGTTTCCAACAGATTTTACCTTCCTGCTGCCCGGCTGGGGCTGTGAGACTAACACTGCCTTGCTGCCCTTGGCATGTGGGGCCGGCAGGGAAGAGCTGCACTGGCTGAGGGCGGTACGTGCCGTTGAGAATGAGCTGTGAGGGGAGGGGCCATACGCCCTTAGCACCACCCTACCCAGCGCGACAACATAATGATACCTCTGCTGCACTAGTGAATATTCTCATGCCAGGATATCGTTTTTTTTCTACATTGGAAGAATCATCAGATCAACAATCTGTGCACTAGAAAACAGGGTTTATGAGAGTGAGATTGCGCTCCTGCTGCCCTGCTGGAGCTGTGAGTGTGACACTGCCCTGTTGCTCCCCTTGACACGTGGGGCCGGTAGGGAAGAGCTGCACTGGCTGTGGTCGATACGTGCCGTTGAGAATGAGCTGTGAGGGGCCATAGGCTCGCAGCACCACTGCACTCCTTGTCTGTGGGAGAAAGGAGAAGAGAAAAGGAAAGGGAAAGGAAGAACGAAAGTGGAAAGTGAAAGGAAAGGATGGAACCGATAGGGAGATAGAGAGCAGAGGGGTGTGCTTGTCTCGATTTTGAGACCTCTCAAAAGGAGGGAAGGCAGAGAACCAGTAAGGAGATAGAGACAAGGGAGAGAGGGATAGCCGCACTTAAGGAGAAACGGGTTGCAAGGGTTGCAGTACCGAGTTAACAGTAGGGATCCAGTTGACTTCAAGCGATTGGCCGGGCGAATTGGGTTGAATGTAGATGGTGAGAGTGCCGTCTGGGTTGTACTGCCGTGAGGGAGAGGGGCAAGAGACCAGGTTTGGTTGCATAGGGGTTGGTTGGGGGAGGAGGCAAGGAAATTGTGTGTGTGTTTTTTAACTTGCCTAAAGAATAATGTAGACTGTGACAGACCAGAAGGAGTCGACCCGGGGAGGGGTGAGGAAGACGCAGCGTGCCAAATGACGTACCAGAGGGTGTTGAGAGAAGTCCTATCGCCCACGGGGTATTTAGTTATGTCGTACTTAACCATTTCCTCCAATAAATTCCGCAAGGTGCTATTGTAAATTGTTACAGACCACAAGGAGTCGACTGGGGGCGGGGTAAGGTGAAAGGAAGCAAGACACTCACCAGCAGGCCCGTCAGCCATAGAAGCTTGTTTGAGACGTCTCAAAACTAGACTGGGGGCGGGGTAAGGTGAGTTTTGAGACGTCTCAAAACTAGACTGGGGGCGGGGTAAGGTGAGTTTTGAGACGTCTCAAAACTAGACTGGGGGCGGGGTAAGGTGAGTTTTGAGACGTCTCAAAACTAGACTGGGGGCGGGGTAAGGTGAGTTTTGAGACGTCTCAAAACTAGACTGGGGGCGGGGTAAGGTGAAAGGAAGCAAGACACTCACCAGCAGGCCTGGAGTCCTATCACCTACGCCGTACTCTGTCATTCCCTCCAAAAGATTTAGAGAGGTGCTGTTGTATTGTAAACAGTGACGGATCAGACTGAGTCAAAAGAGACTTAGCAGCAGGCTTAGTGTGTGTGGCCGGCCGAGTGAAAGAAACTTACCAGCAGTCCTGCTGTGCGGTCACCCACACCATACTTAGTCACTCCCTCCAGGAGATTCAGCGAGGTGCTGTTGTAGACTGTGACAGACCAGAAGGAGTGAAGAGGAGGAGAAGGAGGGACGTGGAGGGAAGAAAGGAGCTCACAATCAGGCCAGGAGTGCGGTCGCCCACACCATATTTGTTGACTCCCTCCAGGAGATTTAGTGAGGTGCTGTTGTAGACTGTGACAGACCAGAAGGAGTCGACTGGGGGAGGGGTGAGGCGCAGGCGGAAGCAGAGAGGGCCTTCGAGGGGGACGAACAGGGGGAAGCGGCGGAAGGGAGGCAGCGAGGAGGGGAGGCTGGGGCGTTCGGGAGAGGTCTGGGTGGTGTTGGCTGGTGTAGTGGTGTTGGCTGGTGTGGTGGTGTTGGTTGGTGTGGTGAGGTTGGTTGGGGTGGTGACGGTGGCTGGTGAGGTGCTGCTGGTTGGTGCGGTGGTGTTGAGAGGGATTGTCAAGGGTGATTCTGACAAGGGAGTTGGTGCTGCTGGGTTGCCAGGAAACAGGGCTTGTAGCGTTGGAACAGCCTGGAAGCGTTTGGATGTTGGGGGGATGAAAACAGAAAAGCGAGAAAAAAACAGAGAACAAGTACTTGAATGGAATGGAGTTAGGACTTAGCAGAGAAAGATGCAGAGGGAGGCATTAGGCAGACAGGCAAAAAGGTGCTGCACACAGGCCAGCAAACCGCAGGCTGCAAAAATAACTCGTTCAAAATGCATCTCGGGTGCTTGCTTCAAGGTGCTTAGCGGTGCTCTGATGTGCTTTGAGGTGCTCTTCCTTCCATACGATGGATCAGAGCAGAGAGCCGTAAGAAGAATTCTACGCAGCAGAGGGAGTGTGTGTGGTACCCAAGGATCCTCGTACGAGGAAGCTTCCTCCTTCATCCGTCTAAGCCGTAACAAGGCTCAGCAGTGGATGGACGGAGGAGGAAGCTGTTTGAGACGTCTCAAAAACACTCTTTTATCACGAAGCTTCCTCACCTGGGCGAGGAAGGTGAGGAAGTAAATCACCTCGGTGGTGAAGTGAACGCCAATGATTCTAGCAGATGAGACGGTAGCACGACAGATGAATGAACTCGCACTCAAAGTTCAACGTGTGGCCCAGCCAGCCAGCAACCAATATACCAAGCCATGTGGGGAAGGAGAAGACAGGAAGCTTCCTCACCTGGGTGAGGAAGGTGAGGAAGTAGACCACCTCGGTGGCAGGGAGGGCACCAATCCCTCCAACAGAGGAGAAGGTGGCGCGGTAGAAGAACTCGCGGTCAAAGTCGTGGCCTGGCCACTGGACCCACAGCACATCGAGCCACACAGGATAGGGGGAGGCTCAGATCAGAGGGGTTGCTCTCACCTGGGCGAGGAAGGTGAGGAAGTAAACCACCTCGGTGGCAGGTAAAGCACCAATGCCTCCAGCGGATGAGAAGGTGGCGCGGTAGAAGAACTCGCGGTCAAAGTCATGACCCAACCAGTTGAGTGAAGAGGACCAGAAGTCGTCCCTGATATATATGGGGAGTCGGGGACATGCAGACACAAAGAGGGAAAGGAAAGGGAAGAAGCAACAGTGGCAAGGGCTGTTGAGGTACCCCGCAGTCTTAGAATGGGACGAGATAGGGCCCGAGTAGCAGAGCTTGCAGTAGCGGTCAAAGTCGTGCCCAGCCAGTTGAGAGACGACGACCAGAAGTCATCCCTGCGTGTGTGCAGGGGCAGACGGGTACAGACAGGTACAGACGGGTACAGACGGGTACAGACGGGCACAGACGGGTACAGACGGGTACAGACGGGTACAGACGGGCACAGACAGGCACAGACGGGTACAGACGGGTACAGACGGGCACAGACGGAAAGCAGGAAAGAAGCAGTGCCATCGCACAGATCAATAATGGAATGGAATGTGCCCTGAGAAGAACGCGCGGTAAAAGTCGTGACCCAGCCAGTTGAGTGAAGAGGACCAGAAATCATCCCTGGTGTGTGCAATTGCAAGCATATACAACGGGAAAGGAAGGAAGGAACAGTGACATTGCACAAATCGGGAATGGAACGGGATAGGCGCCAAGGAGCAGAACTCGCAGGGGAGGAGATTATATGCTTGAAAATAAGAATTTTATGGTAGAAATGTGATGTGAGAAAATCGAGTTAGGTGGCACACTCACGACTGAATGAGGGATTCGTTGATCTGAATGATTCAGTTGGCCGTGCTCAGTGCCTGGTCTGTTACCACTCTTGCTGCCTCAAGCACTGCTTTTTGAGACCAGCTAAGTGGCACACTCGCGATTGAATGCAAGATTGTGAGTTCAAACGAATTCCCTCACGACAGAATGAGGGATTCGTTGATCTGATTTGGTTGGCGGTGCTCAACGCCAGGTCCGTCACCTCTCTCGCTGCCTCCAGTGTTACGTTTGAGAAGATTCAAAGGGAATTCACGACTGAATGAGGGATTCGTTGATCTGAAAGATTAGGGTTGGCGGCGCTCAGTGCCTGGTCTGTCACCTCCATTGCTGCCTCCAGTGCTGCTTTCTGAGACGACATAAGTGGACCACTCACGACTGAATAAGAGATTCGATGCTGTGAATTATTGCACTCACGACTGAATGAGGGATTCGTTGATTTGAATGATTTGGTTGGCGGCGCTCAGCGCCTGGTCTGTCACCATTCTCGCTGCCTCCAGTGCCGCTGCCTGCTGCTGTGTCACGCTGTAGGGGTCGAAGCCGTACTGCTGGGTGACGTTGATAGAGGCGAGCTGAGAGGAGGGGAAAGGGAGAGAAGGGGAAGAAGGAGGGAGCAGAGCAATGAGAAGGGGTAGTGCTGAACATTGCTTTTGGAAAAACATAGAAGCTCGGCAATAACTAACTAGTGATACAGAGAGCCTCAATTCATAACAGATGATGACCAGACAACCTAACAAAGGTTAAAAAGAACGGGTACATGCAAAACCACCACACTGACCGGACATGCATTTTAGAATTGACATGCATGGTGAGACAGGCGGCAGCATGCTGCTGTGGATGTTGGATTGGTAAGTCGGCATCAACATGCATGACCGGATGATGTTGATGCTGGCTTACCAATCCAACATCCACAGTAGCATGCTGCATGCACAACCCGCCTCACCATGTGGACGACGCTGTTATTAGTGCTGTTATTAGTGCTGTTATTAGTGCTGTTATTAGTGCTGTTATTAGTGCTGTCATTAGTGCTGTCATTAGTGCTGTTATTAGTGCTGTTATTAGTGCTGTTATTTGTGCTGTTATTAGTGCTGTTATTAGTGCTGTTATTAGTGCTGTCATTAGTGCTGTTATTAGTGCTGTTATTAGTGCTGTTATTAGTGCTGTTATTAGTGCTGTTATTCTCATCAGCATGCTCTGCACTGGTGAACCAATCTAACCACCCCACAGGACCGACATATTCTGCCTTACCATACTCATCACCTTCCCAAGAAGCAGAATTCCTCGCCCGCCTCACCATGCGCACGACGCGGTTGTTGGCGCTATTATTGACAGGCGGGTCCCGTCGAAGGCCCTCGCCAATGAGAGTCATGCGCTGCACAGGCAAGCAGCAGGGAGGGCGATGGGAATGAAATGGGAAGGAGTGGCATGTAATGGAGTGGAGTGGAGTAGAGTGGAGCGGAGTGGAGTGGAGTGGAGTGGAGTGGAGTGGAGTGGAGTGGAGTGGAGTGGAGTGGAGTGGAGTGGAGTAGAATGGAGTGGAGTGAAATGGAATGGAGTGGAGTGGAGTGGAGTAGAGTGGAGCGGAGTGGAGTGGAGTGGAGTGGAGTGGAGTGGAGTGGAGTGGAGTGGAGTGGAGTGGAGTGGAGTGGAGTGGAGTAGAATGGAGTGGAGTGAAATGGAATGGAGTGGAGTGGAGTAGAGTGGAGCGGAGTGGAGTGGAGTGGAGTGGAGTGGAGTGGAGTGGAGTGGAGTGGAGTGGAGTGGAGTGGAGTAGAATGGAGTGGAGTGAAATGGAATGGAGTGGAGTGGAGTGGAGTAGAGTGGAGTCGAGTGGAGTGGAATGGAGTGGAGTAGAGTGGAGTGGAGTGGAGTGGAGTGGAGTGGAATGGAGTGGACTGGAGTGGAGTAGAGTGGAGTGGAGAGGAGTGGAGTGGAGTGGAGTGGAGTGGAGTGGAGTGGAGTGGAGTGGAGTGGAGTGGAGTGGAGTGGAGTGGAGTGGACTGGAGTGGACTGGAGTGGACTGGAGTGGAGTAGAGTGGAGTGGAGTGGAGTGGAGTGGAGTGGAGTGGAGTGGAGTGGAATGGAGTGGAATGGAATGGAATGGAGTGGCCTGCAGTGGCTTATAGTGGTCTGCAGACTGCAGGGCCTGGGAGGGGAAGTGGGGATTGATCGACAGTGCAACGGAAATCTCAACTATGGCTTGGGGAATAGTGACTTGGGAAGCCAGTGCTTGCTTGCAGGGCACGACTCAAAGGTAATCGAAGGCACAAGGGCGGCGGCTGCTGCTCGCCTGCAGGGCACTGCTCGAAACAGGGGATCACAAGGGCAGCTGGTGCTGCGGCTCAGAAGGGCGGGTGCTGCTCACAGGGAGGGCCTCGGAGGAGTTGGAGCTGGGGAGGTGCGGAACAGGCTGGCCCCTAGTGCTTCTAGACTCTAGTGAAGCAGCAAAACTGCAACCAAGACACCCAGTGGCCCACAGCTCACCTGGAGGGCACAGCTCACCTGGAGGGCACTGCTCACCTGGAGGGCACTGCTCACCTGGAGGGCACTGCTCACCTGGAGGGCACTGCTCACCTGGAGGGCACTGCTCACCTGGAGGGCACTGCTCACCTGGAGGGCACTGCTCACCTGGAGGGCACTGCTCACCTGGAGGGCACTGCTCACCTGGAGGGCACTGCTCACCTGGAGGGCACTGCTCACCTGGAGGGCACTGCTCACCTGGAGGGCACTGCTCACCTGGAGGGCACTGCTCACCTGGAGGGCACTGCTCACCTGGAGGACACTGCTCAAAACTTGGGCGCACAAGGGCGGCTGTTGCTCACCTGGGGGAGCGCTGCTCACCTGGAGGGCCTCGGAGAGGTTGGAGCTGGGGAGGGGCGGATTGGGGAGGGGCGCAACTGCAGGCCCGCCTAGTGCCTCTGAGAGTGACTGTAGCGAGACTTGACTATAGAGGTCGAGCACCGTAGCAAGATCATTGGTGACGTTTGCAGACACGACCACTCGCATCAGCAGGAGCGCATCGTCGGTGGGTGACTGGAGGTAGAGGGGGTGGGGGGGGAAGGTGGGAAGAGGAGGAAGAAGGGAGGAGAAAGAAGAGGGGGGAAAGAAAGGAGGAGGAAGGGGAGTGAGGAAACGACAAAAGGTAAGAGGGGTCATCGTGTTTGATCGGTAGTGCGCTGATGAAGGCAGCTCCCCTGCCCAGTCAGTTGGGCCAAACAACGGTGAGCGTTTGGGCCCATGAGTGAAAGAAATGAAGTGTACATTGGGAGTGATACTTCATCTCACCCGTATGACGGTGGGTGTGAGATCACCAGGCAGCTCTCCAAACCAGTTTGGCCCGACAACAGTGCACGTGTTGGGGGATTGGGTACACGTGTGTAGGAAGGTAGCTATGCATGTATTGACAATAGATGGACTACTCCTCACCCGTATGACGGTGGGTGCGAGGTCAGCAGGCAGCTCCCCAGCCCAGTTGGGCCCGACTAGAGTGAAATTGTTGGGGCCTGGCCCGTTGGCTCGGCTGCCGTTCACACTGAATGCCGAGTAGTAGAGCTGGAAGAACCCGGCGCTGCCAGAAAATGACGGGCCAAGAGGGATTGGTTTGGACGGGTTTGGTTCGGAGGGGATTAGCTTGGAGGCCATGCGGTTCACCCTAGAATTGGGTTCGGCCCTGGCCCGTTGGCTCAGCTGCCGTTCACACTGAAATCCGAGTAGTAGAGCTGGAAGAACCCGGCGCTGCCACGCACATGGGGATCGGGAGGAATTGGTTTGGAAGGGATTAATTTGAAAGGGATGCGCGATTCACACTTGAATCGTGTTGGGGCCCGGCCCGTTGGCCCGGCTGCTGTTCACACAGAAATCCGAGCAGTAGTCCTGGAAGAATCCGATGCTGCCAAGACAAGGGAGGGAGGAAGGACGGGGTTGGACGAGAGTGAGTGGGTTGGACCGTTCACACTGAAATTTGAGTAGTAGGTCTGGAGAAATCCAATGCTGCCAACACAAGAGAGGAGGGGAGGGTGGGTTTGAAAAGAGTAGTTTATTAAGCCTGTATGAAAACTAGTATTCGACTGAAAACTCGAATAGAAAAAAAAATGTAGAATTGTTATGCTGTTTGCACGCTCATAGCATGTAGTAGCGTCCCTCACCTGTTGCAGTGCCAAACACCACCTATGACTGCGCGGCTTACCTTTTGTGTTGGCCTTGGCCCACGTAGGGGGTATGTAGGTAGACAAGGGCTCTTGAGACGTCTCAACAGTAGCAGTGCAGCACCATACCCCTTCAGAGCGGCCCTCACCTGTAGTAGCGGCCCTGGCCCAGGTAAGGGGTCTTCGACACCATTGGCTGATCTCGCAGGTTGAGGAAGTGTCACCTGCAACAACGTATCTTTCGTATTGACCACTTTTCACCGGTAGTAGCAGCCCCTCACCTGTAGTAACGGCCCTGGCCCATGTAGGGGGTCTTGAGCACCATGGGCTGGTCTCGCAGGTAGAGGAAGGCTCCTCCATACACCGTGTCCACATTGGGGAGAGCCACGTCTGGGTGGGGTGGTGTGAGAGGGGACAAACAGTAAGACATTGGGAAGGCGTGCAGTGGGAAGGTGGTTTCCTGAACCTTTGGAGGAACGGGGAGGGCTCCGCCATACACCATGTCCACATTGGGGAGAGCCACGTCTGGGTGGGGTGGTGTGAGAGGGGACAAACAGTAAGACATTGGGAAGGCGTGCAGTGGGAAGGTGGTTTCCTGAACCTTTGGAGGAACGGGGAAGGCTCCGCCATACACCATGTCCACATTGGGGAGAGCCACGTCTGGGTGGGGTGGGGATGAGGGCGGAAGAGATGATGAGAGTGATGTCAAAAGAAGAAAGAAAGGATATAAAAGCATGAGAGCAGCTGTCACACCTCGCCACCCACTGGGTCAAAACGAGGGTTATATTTGAGGCGCAGCGGATGCACTCAACCCTTACGTGTAAGACCCACAGGCGTTACACTCGTCCCCCCCTGGAGCCAACGTCCTCATTGGGCAGGGAGACGGCCCTCGCAAGACCTCAATCTCACTCTTCAGCGACTTCGTTGGTGGGCCAGACCAGTGGCGGTTCGCTGGGTTCGCGGCTGGGTTACCACATTCAACTTCTCCTCACTTGGCGGAAAATGTGACTCAGCCAAGACTCGAACCCCAGGCCCCGAGATCAAATGTAATACTTCGCTACCCACTGGGTCAAAACGAGGGTTACAATTGAGGCGCAGCGGATGCACTCAACCCTTATGTGTAAGCCCCACAGGCGTTACAGCAGCAGCGATGTTGGCATCAAAAGCATAATTCAAACGCACCAGAAGGAGAGTTCAACTCATTGGTGGTGCCGACGACAGTGGTGGTGTTGGCATCAAAAGCATGCTTCAAACTAGTGCACCAAAAGGGGATTGCAACTCACTGGTGGTGCCGACAGCAGTGGTGTTGGCAAAAGAGAAGGCGTTGAGGGCAGCACGGGTGGCCTGCTGGCGGAAGAAGGTGACGAGAGGAGACCCCCACACGAACGCCTCCTGCCCCACCGTGAAGTACCGCACCGCACCCCCCTCCGTGCCATTGCCAGCAGCCCCACTGAAGTTACCGCTTCTGGTCAAGTTGCCAGCAACAGTGTTATTGCGTGCAGGCGTGATGCTGCTACTGCTGCTGCTGCTGCTGCTGCTGCTGCTGGGAGCTGTGGCGTTACCAGCTTCAGTAAGGTTACCAGGAGGACTGACACTGCTTTCAGCAGTTGCACTGCTGTCACCACCACCACTCGTATCATTACCGGCACTAGTGGTGATATTAGAAGCGCCTGCAGGAAAACCAGAGATGCCACCAGCAGCAGAGCCCATGTTACTGCTGTTGCTCATAGCACCGGTGTTCGTCTCGTGGCCGTCTGCAATGCCCGGTCTGCCCAGCTGTTCCTGAAGTCCCCGTCTCCCACCTCTCACCCCTTTCAATAGCTCATGTCGTGCCACGCCTTCATATAATCCACATGCTGCCATCCCCATGCTCAGTAACCCATGTACCGCCGCCACACCAGCAGCTCGTGCCACCCCATGCGTCTGAACCCCCGCCCCACTGTGCCTCTGTGTAGACCTGCCAACGTTGTCTAATGGCTGCCTGGATGCTGGGGAAACGCGGCCAGCAACTATCATCACCAGCAGCAGCAACGACACGGGTAGGACAGTGATCAGCAGTTGCTGCAGCTTGGCCTGATTGGGCCATTCTTGATGCTTCACAGCGAATCTTTCTCCCCGACCATTCATATCTGAGGATTCTTCTCGCAGACCGTTCTCGCGGGAATGCATGAATCCACACAGCATGGATGATCTTTCCTCACACGGAGTGATCAGTTCAGGCGGCATTGCGCCACCTCCGCTTGCTGCTGTCGATGGCGCTGCTGCTAATGGTATGCGATATTCACTCGTTGGTTGATGAGAATTCTTAGAAACCTGCTGTCGATGGCGCTGCTGATGATATGCAAGTTTCACTCAAATGGAAATGCAAGTCAGGCCCGTGACTGACGCCAGAGGTCTGAACCGTTTCTGCTCTTGAGGATGAACCAACGATTTGTGACGCGTGAAAACGGCGCTGGTGGTGGTATGCAAGCTTCACTCGTGGTGGAAACTGGAAGTAAGGTCGGTGACTCACGCCACGGGTCTGAGCCGTTTCTGCCCCTGTGAATGACCTTTGACCTGTGACGCGTGAGTATTGCTAGTAGTAGTGTGGAGGTGACCTTGAGGCGACTCGAAAACGGCTTCTCCAACGAATTTCCCTGAGGCCTGATACTCATGGTAATGAGGCCCTGAGAGATGGCGGAGCGATGGGGGAGACGTGGGATTTGTGAGAATTCCCCCAAACTCTCGCTGCTGATTGCTGACGGTTGTGAGTTGGTGGAGCAATGGCGAGACGTGGAAAGCTGACCACATCTGTCGCAGTGAGTCTGACGGTTGACGCGTTCCGACGCCTGAATTGGACGGAAATCGTTAGAGGACGTTGAGAACGAGGCAGGCGTGGACAGAACGAGCGGCGCCGCTGCTCGGAGCAGTAAAGGCGCGCGTCGATTTGAACGGAAATACGATTCTTTAGGCACCTCGAACAGTTGGGCCGAATGCGAGAATGCGCGTCCTATGACAACGGTCGCCATAACTGCGACAACCATCGCAGGAATCCAACGAGGAGGAAGAGAAACAGCACGTGATCGTTCCTGTTCGTCACCCTAGATTGCTTCCAGAGACTGATGCCACCTCCGTGTCTTCGATTGTGTTGCTACGGTTCGACGCGTGACGGCGAGCATTTCAAGGTATTGACAATCAGGACTCCTGCGGACAAACGTGGGCAAGCACTGGCTGGCTGGCTTGCTGGTGACGAGAAAAGCCGAAGTGTAATGCAAGCAACCATACAAACCGTTCTAATGTGCTACTCTAACCGGTAAAACTCGCACAGAAAATAACCGAACCGTACAGAACGTACACTTGTGACACGCCTTGCTTCCAGCCGCTAGGGCTGGTGCGATGTGGAAAGCGAAAGAACCATTATTGTTGAACCCAAAGTTACTGAGGGGTGTTCGGATCAGGTTTCATCGGTATGGAAGTTGTGTTGTCATGCTGACATTCCAGTTCGGGGCCGTCAAATCAGGCTGGTAATTCGTGTTTTTTGACAAAAACAAATGAAACCCGTTTTAACGGACCCACAATCTTTCTCGTGTTTGAAGCCATTTTGACCATGCAAATATGAGACAATGTAAAAACCATCGAGACACTTAGCTGGTGTCTTGTGGGTCCGCGACTGGGTGCACGACTTAGCTAAGTAACGATTGATGTAGTCAACCTTTACTTCCGTGAGGATGATGTGTCGTAGGCTACGACTTGTAGCTGACAAGCAGAGCACTCAGCCCCCACAGTTAGGACAAGAGCAACTAATGCTTGTGTGGTGGTGCCGTCATGTGCGCTAGGGAGCCCGATCGTTAACCGCGCAGGGAGATCGCCGTTGTTTAAATAAAGAGTAAAAAAATATTAAGGCGAGCAGGCGCTTACGACTATGGCGTCTGGACGCACGTCCATGGGTCTGGGAGGTAGGAGAGATTCGAGCAAATTAGCCAAGGACGGTAAAGACGGCTCGGGTAGTAAAGCAGCCGCTGACGTCAGAATCTTGACAACAGAAGCTATACCTCCCGCTAAGCGCAAGAAGTATAAGGAGAGAGTGAAAGGACCAAACGCGTCTTTAACTACCGGCGACGGCTTTTCGGTGATCTTAGCTCCCGAGTCTGCTATGCTTACGCGGCTCCAGGCCGAGGAGAGACAGATGGATATTGTCTTATCGCGCGTTAAGGTGGAGCTTTCCGAATCGATCCACGCCATGCCACGTGTCACGCGAAGCCTCCGGCTTTATGTCTTTAATACCCACTCGTTCCAGGATCGAGCAGTACAGAGCGGGATAAAATCGGATGTAGATGGGTCGATCGCAGCCGCTGATGTGCCTCGTTGGACTTTGCGAGTCGTGGCGCGAATGGTGGGAGAAGACGAGGAGCAATTCGGTACTCAGACAGGTGATTTCCAAGCAGAAAGGACTCCCCTGAGCACTAAGCGCGTCGGAAGCACCGATAAGGAGCGTTCTTCAGCAATTTCCGCGATATTAGCAGATGCAGAGTCTCGCGGATCGGATTCAGGCGTTGGAGAATCGGGCTTGGGCCAGGCTTTGCTAGGCTCGGGAGTTTTCAAGGTTCGGGATGCCGTGGCTGGCCCGTTGGCTCGGCATGTCCAGCGGATCGAGGCTCGGCTCGACCCGAAGCTGTTCCCGCCACCCAACAACGCGGTGACCCTGTGGGACGCAGACAGGGACGGGATTCTCCGACCAGATGCATCAACGGTGGAGATGCAGCGAGAGGGGACCAGTGAATCGTTGGTGGAGCTTCGTGTGGAGCTGAAGCAGGGGGAGGAAGTGTACAGTGTGGAAGAGCGGTTGAGAGCGGTGGTGGGGATGAGTGTGGCGACCAGGCTGCAAGTATTGGAGGGCCTTTGGAATCATATAAAGGCCAACAAGCTGCAGGTGAGTGATCTTCTGTATCATCTATTTTTTGTTACTCTTGTGTGGCTTGACGGCTCTTATGCCATCCTTGTGTAGCTTGACATCTCTTCAGTCTTTCAACAGTAATGCCAACAAGGTTCAGAAATGCTGATCCGTCTACTGCTGATCCAACAATGCTTCTCCCCGATTTGCTGTTGTTTCTCCTCTACCATCCACATTCCTCATTTTGCTGTTGTTTCGCCCCTACCATCCACATTCCTAAGTTAGCTGTTGTTTCTCCCCTACCATTCACCACATCCCTCCATTTTGCTGCTGTTTCTCCCATGTTTCCCCAACAGGATCCCTCAGACCCTTCTTCCTTCACCTGCGATGCTACCCTCCAAGCGCTCTTCAAACAGGACAAGCTCAAAATCTCCTCCCTCCCCATCCACATTTCCCCATTCCTCTCTCCTCCACCGCCTCTCACCATCACCCACCGCATCTCCCTCGCCACCTCCCCCACACACTCCGACACACTCGCTTCATTAGATCCCTCCTTTCATCCACTGGGGCCACCTACCACCCTCCCTTCATATGAGACCCTGCCCCCTGTTTCGGCTGACACCTTCGTGGATGTGACTGTAACAGAAGCTCCTGCCCTCGCGGCCGAAACAGCCCGTGTGATTGCAGCGATGGGTCAGCAGCCGGAGATAGACGCGATCGATGCAGCCATGGCAAAAGATGCGGAGCTTTTAGCTAAGCATCGGCGGCGATGCGCATTCTTTCTAGCGTTTTCGCACTCTCCTGGGGAGTTTATCAGGGACTTGATGGGTTCGCAGCAGAGGGATTTGGATCAGATGCAGCAGGGGGGAGTGGAAGGTGCTGGGAGTGCACATGCATTTGGTCCTGAGACTGCTGACCAAGATGCAGAGTTTTATGCTCTACCATGGTGGGTACTCTGTGCTGGAACGATTGCAGATTCGTTGCTGCCACTAGCCAGCGTGTTGTGCCTCACTGCTTTGGCAGTATTGGTCTCGCTTACTGCTATGGAGGCTCTTGAAAACTGCTCGCATGCATACTCAATCTTGTGTACCGATTTGTGTTTCTTTGCTGCTTGCCTGTGTCTAGGGTGGATGATGCCCTCCTGAGGTACTTGAATCGCCATTCTATGGGTACTGATGGCCTTGCATTGTAAGGTTGACGGTTCATCTCCGACACCTCAATGCATCGCATCACGATGTGATGCATCGACCTTGTATTCATGCTCTGAACCTAATATGAAGCCAATAGGTGTTCCCCCCCACCCTATACATAATTCTATCAAATTCAATTTAGCCATGTCATCAAGAATACCGTTTTTTCTTTGCTGTTGTGTCCTTGTGGCCACCTTTGGTTAATTGGTGAGTGAGTGAAGTGTCTCAATTTAATGTCTAAACGAATGCTGTTGCAGAAATTCGATTGCATAATGTCCTTTTACTGAAACGAATCTCGCATCGCGTGCAACCTCAACAAATTCAAGGAGCTTGGTCATTTTCTTGCCTCTTGGGAACTCCATTTCCGTTGTGTGCCTGGCGTGGCGAGGCGATGAGGGATTCTCACTACCCTTCCGCCACCATTGCCAGTCCTCGAAATCCCCGCCATACAACAACCTTTTCACTGATAACAACGCTGCTGTCAGCATAATAGCGCAAGCCTGGTATAGAAAGCGATGGATGGCCTTGTCAAATGGTTGAATATGGTGGCGACTGATCATATGCATAAATCTACAACACCCAATTGTCTTACACGAAATGGTTCAATGATGAGCATTTCTAGGCGAGGACTGAGATTAGACTGGCCATGGCGTGGGAATCGACGCATGCTTGAAGAAGTTGAGTAGCTGAGGTAGTCAAAGGAGACGAAACGGAACGTTCACCTCGATTCGTTATCGTTTCGGTGCTAAGATTGTGGGAATCACAGTGGACATCCGCAGCCATAGAACGTTTGTCGGAGGAAAGAGACATTTGGCATTTTCCCTGTTCTCCAGCAGTTGAGGCCTCTCATTTCCTTCAAGTAGAAGATAGCCTTCGAAATCCTAGTGACGCGTGCCTTGCGCACGGCGAGTGCTCTCGGATCTTCCGTATTCTCCCACGTGAAATGCTACGAGTTTTGAGTTGACTCAAAAATCGAGATCCTGGTGACATGTGACTTGCGAACGTGCGACGAGTGACTCGTCACACGACGAGTGCTCTTGGATCCTCCGTACACTCCCGTCTTTTCCAGCGTTCGCAATGGGATGCCTCGGTATCATATGCGATGGTTGCCCCGCGATTCTCACCGTGCGATGCCTGCGACCCATCCCGTCCACTCATGTGCCTTGGTTCGCGACGCTCACGCTTATCGCATTCCTCGTATCGCTTATCGCTTTCCTCGCAGTCCTCGCCGCCTGATACCAGCGTCTCCCGTCAGGCGCTTCTCGTATCATCATGCGGTCGCACCATGACAACCACCAGCAACACGAATTCCCGTCACTTCTGAGAATTCTCAAAAGTCACTCTAATGTCGACGATCGCACCATGGCCGCCAACAGCGAAAGGAATTCCAGTCGCGCAGAAGCGATAAGTTCGAGAAAAACTTATGGAGGAGGAAGCTTGCAGGTGCAATTCCAACTCCCCCCATCGCTACCGCGGCGGCGACTGGTACGGGTCGAGCGCCTCGCTTTCGCCCCAAGCAAAACCACTGGCAGCACGCGACCTGTAGATCAATGGTTTAGCTTTCTGATCCTGTCCTTTCGTCGTCTAGCATTCCAGCCTGGACGGACCATTTCCATGGAACCTACTTCGAAGTTTCGAAGGGACAGAGCTGCTGAAAGTTCCTGAGGAATTGAAGGTTTCAGACATTCTGTTTGTTTACCAGTGCGAGTAACCTAATCCTACTCATCTGATAGCTCTGGCACCCATGGCGCTTTCTGCCGTCTGCCATCATGGAGTCCTGAACCCGAAACTCACTCACTCTCTGCGACCAAGCCGAGATGTCTTGGATGAAGCAGCACGGCAAAGTTGGATCAAGTCCCGCCTGCTTGCAGTCACAGAGTCGCCCGTGGCTCTGCTGTTGCTGCTGCTGTTGCTTCTCCTCCAGTGCACCTTTTCTGCTTCCGCGCAACCTGTTCAGGGCGGACTGCAGCAGACGGGTGGAGGATTAATGGATGGGCTTAGAGTAGGGAGGGGGGGACGAGGGCTTCAGCAGGGGCCTGGTGTGCCAGGATCTTCCCCAGGGGAGATGAGCAGCGGTGGTGCTGCCAATGACGGCACTGGTGCCAGTGCCGCCGGTACCTCTGGTCCTACCAGTAACAGCAGTGGGAACAGCAGTGGTGGCAGCATCAATGGCACTGCTAACGCCACAGCCCTCCCCAGCATCATCCCTCCAAGCAGTGCCGATGGTGCTACCTCTGCTTCTACCAGTAACAGCAGTGGGAACAGCAGTGGTGGTAGCATCAGTGGCACTAGTAACACGACAGCCCCCCCCAGCATCGTCCCTACAGGGAGTGCCAATGGAACTGCTGCTGGTAACCCCACTGGACCTGGAGGGGCTGCTGGCATGGCTCCCACCAGCACCACGCCTCCAAGCAATAACACTGCTGCTGGTAACCCCACTGGGGCTGGTAACTTCACTGCGGCTGCTGGCAATGGCACAGAGGGGGATGCAGTGTGGTACTTCACGGTGGGGCAGGAGACGTTCGTGTGGGGATCTCCTCTGGTCACCTTCTTCCGCCAGCAGGCCACCCGTGCTGCCCTCAACGCCTTCTCCTTCGCCAACACCACCGCTGTCGTCGGCACCACCAGTGAGTCATGCTTGGCTGTTGGTACAACCTTTTCTGGCATCATTCACTTGCAGGGCTATTTGATGCCAGTGTCTCCTTCACCAACACCACCACCAGTGAGTCACTGGTGCATCCTTCTTGTGCGTCATTTCAGCAGAGCAGCTTATGATGCGACTGTTTCTAACACACACACCACCGCCGTCGTTGCTACCACTAGTGAGTCTTGCATGATTTTGGTGCATCCTTTTTTAAACGCGTCCATTAGTTTATTTGACGTTCCTGTAAGTGAGAGCAATGCACAAACGGCTTTTGCTGCTGTAACGACCAACGTGCACAGCATGCATGGTGCGCCCTTCCTCTTCCCTGAGAGAATCAAGAACCCGCATTCTCATACCTCTTCCTCCCTTCCCCTTCCAGCGGTGGCTCTCCCCAATGTGGACACGGTGTATGGAGGAGCCTTCCTCTACCTGCGAGACCAGCCAATGGTGTTCCGAACCCCCAACATGGGCCAGGGCCGCTACTACAGGTGAGCAGGCTCGTATGGGATGTGGTGCTATGACAGGTGGGTGGTGCTGGGCGCTGCTACAGGTGGGTGGTGCTGCGCTCCTCTTTGAGACCAATGGCACGGACCAGTGGCTTTTTGTAGGTCTCTGTTTTGTACAACCTTATGTTCCGGACGCCCCTCTTCTATTTGCATCATCGGTATCTTCCAAGCATATGGCCTGAGATTCAGTGTGGCCTTTGAGACGACTCAAAAGTGGCCTACGGCCCAAACCACCGACTGATTGTGTAAGCCTCTGTTTCTGTTTCTTAACACCACTCTGTTTCGCCCACCCCTCTCATTCTTCCCCGCTGTTCGCAGCATCGGGTACTTCCAGACCTACGGTCTGGCATTCAGTGTGAACGGCAGCCATTCATCCAACTCTCCTCCATCTGAATCCCCACTGCCCATCCGCCCCTCGTATTCGCAGCATCGGGTACTTCCAGACCTATGGCCCGGCATTCAGTGTGAACGGCAGCCGAGCCAACGGGCCAGGCCCCAACACGTTCACTCTAGTCGGGCCCAACTGGGCTGGGGCGCTGCCGGGTGACCTCGCGCCCACAGTCATACGGGTGAGAATCTGACTGTCATAACATGTGTAGTATTGTAAACATATGCACGCATGCTCCCAACTCGTTCACTCTAGTCGGGCCCGACTGGGCTGGGGCGCTGCCTGCTGACCTTGCTCCCACCGTCATACGGGTGAGAATACTGTCAAATTAAGGCATAGGTAGTTGTCTAAACACGTGCACCCATGCACCCATGCTTCCAACACGTTCACATTTCCCTCTCACTTTTTCGCTTTGATGCGCTCCTCGTCTTTGTCCCCCACAGTCACCCACCAACGATGCACTCCTGCTGATGCGGGTGGTCGTGTCAGAAAACGTCACCAACGACATTGCCACAGTGCTGGACCTCTACAGTCAAGTCTCGCTACAGTCACTCTCAGAGGCACTCGGCGGACCTGCAGTTGCGCCCCTCCCCAATCCGCCCCTCCCCAGCTCCAACCTCTCGGAGGCCCTCCAGGTGAGTGAGTAGTGGCCCTTGTGCTCCCTCGAATTAATTAGTGGCCCTCCCGGTGAGTAGTGCCCTCCAGGTGAGTAGTGCCCTCCAGCGAGCAGCAGCCGCCCTTCTGCTCCCTCCAGATGAGCAGTGGCCCTCCAAGTTAGCAGTTCCGACCCAGCTGACATCACGGTTTCCCAGTCACGTTTTCCCTAGTCCGTCTAGTTTCCTTCGACTTGACAAGCTACTTACATTTCTTCCCTTGGAGCAGTAGCAGACTGCCTCGACCATTCCTTTCCAAGCCAGCATTCTTCTCCAGTTTGCTCAATAATTTATCGCACCTTCCCATCGCCCGTGCAGCGCATGACTCTCATTGGCGAGGGGCTTCAGCGGGACCCGCCCTTGAATAACAGCGCCAACAACCGTGTCGTGAACATGGTAAGATAGTGCATGTGGCAAGCTGATGCTGCTGTTGGTGCTGGTGGGGATATGGCAGGTGGTGTGAGGGAAGAAAGAATGTGTAAGGCAGTACTGTAAGCTGATGCTGATGAGATACAGAGAGCAATTGAGTGAATCCTTACAGGTTGAGTGACCCTTACAGGTACGGTGAAGGTAGCTCCTCTTGATACGACTTTTGAGGCGCCTCAAATCTTGACTATGAATCTTGACTATGAATCTTGTCTATGAATGTTGACTAAGAATCTTGACTATGAATCTTGACTATGAGTCTTGACTATGAATCTTGACTATGAATCTTGACTATGAATCTTGACTATGAATCTTGACTATGAATCTTGACTATGAATCTTGACTTTGAATCTTGATAAGTATTGAGGTGTTTCAGAATCGAGTTTAACTACGCCCGTCAATCAACAGGGTTGAGGGGTGAAGGTAGCTTTTGTGGGTGTTTTTGTGGTAGCTTCAGGTCGAGTTTTTGCAAGTACGGCTTCGATTCGACCTGAACAGAGTGACTTTTGACTCAACTCAGAAGTTCCAAATAACACACATTCCTCTCTTCCCACCCTCCTCCCCTCCCTCCTTCTCCCTCCTCTCAGCTTGCATCCATCAACGTCACTCAGCAGTACGGCTTCGAATCGAACCTTACAGCATCACACATCTTCTAATGCGTGTGCCCTCTCTCACCGACCTACCCAGCCCCCGTTTCCTCCCCTCTACTCCATCGTTCCCCCCCCTTCAGCTCGCCTCCATCAACGTCACCCAGCAGTACGGCTTCGACCCCTACAGCATCAGAAGCTTTCTTTCTACGTCTGCCCTCTCCCTTCCGTCACTACCCTGCGCCGCACACCCTCCTCCCTATCTCTCTTCCTCCTTCCCTCATATCAGCTCGCATCCATCAACGTCACCCAGCAGTACGGCTTCGACCCCTACCTTCCTTCTAGTGCTTCTGCCCCCTCCCATTGACACTGCTATTTCCATCCCTCCTCCCCCTCCCTCCTTCCCTCCCTCCGTCCTCGCAGCTGGCATCTATCAACGTCACCCAGCAGTATGGCTTCGACCCCTACAGCGTCATAAGCTTTCTTACATCTGTCCTCCCCCTTCCGTCACTACCTTGCGCTCCCTATCTCTCTTCCTTCCTCCCTCCTATCAGCTCACGTCCATCAACGTCACCCAGCAGTACGGATTTGACCCCTACAGCGTCACACACACCTTTCTTTGTTCAACCTCTCCCTCCCTTCCTTCTCCCTCCCATCCCTCCCCCCCTCTCTCAGCTCGCGTCCATCAACGTCACCCAGCAGTACGGCTTCGACCCCTACAGCGTCACACAGCAGCAGGCAGCGGCGTTGGAGGCAGCAATGCAGACAACGGACACACTCATCACGGCAGCCAATGTCGTTATTCAGATCAACGACTCGCTCATCCAAAGGTGAATGCCTGGATGTTACAGCACTATGGGTTTTTCCCCTACTGCATCACACAGCAGCAGGCAGCAGCACTGGAGGGGGCGAGGCAGACAACAAACACACTCATCACAGCAGCAAATGTGGTCATTCAGATCAACGACTCACTCATTCAATCGTGAGTGCCAGATGTTACAGCACTATGGGTTCGACCCCAACAGTGTCACACAGAGGCAGGCAGCAGCACTGGAGGCAGCAAGGCAGACAACAGACACACTCATCACGGCAGCGAAATGTGGTCATTCAGATCAACGACTCACTCATCCAATCGTGAGTGCCCGGAGGGTCGTCTTTCACATTCGTAGTAAGAAAGGGCATCCGTGTTTTAGCGGGAATGGCAATTAACACATGAAACCTTTCAGAGGCACGCCTTCCGTGCCTCCCATTCTTGTAAGCACTTTTGGCCGTCTGTTGAGTCAAATAGAAATAGGGTCGTTGGGGCGTCCCCTTGCACTCTCCTGGAAATGCTGGTTGAGTCGACCCAAAAGTCACTCTCATCTTCCGTTGTAATAACTTTAAAGGTTTCACTTCTCCATCCACTCCTGCCACATCCCCATTCCCGCCACTTCCCATTCCTGTCACATCCCCATTCCGCCCTCTCCTCTCATTGAGAGCTTGGGCATCATCTTACACCCTCGCCTGCTGGGCCATGACTTAACACGGAGTTCCTGCACCAAGCCACGCCCTCACCACCATCCTTCCCATCCCCTCCCTGTGCCTCTGTGTGTTCTCCGCTCCCTCCATTTTCCTCAACCAAGCCACCCGCTTGCCACCCTTCTCATCCCCGTCCGCTCTTTGTGCTCTCCTCTCCAACCACCCCTGTCCACTTCCCCCAGTGAGAACTTCTGGGCGTCATCTCGCACGCTCCTGGGCCATGACTTTGAAACCGAGTTCCTCTACCGAGCCACACTCACAGCGCCAGGCGGCATCGGCGGGCTGCCGCCCACAGAAGTGGTTTACTTCCTCACCTTCCTCGCAGCGGTGAGCTGCCCTCCTAGCCCTCTCGATCCCTCTCAGTCCCTCTCTATTTCATTGGCCCTACCACCCTACCCTCTCTGCTTTTCATTGGCCCGCTGGCCCTTGCATTTGAGCAAGGCATTGGTGGGCCGCCGCCCACAGAAGTGGTTTACTTCCTCACCTTCCTCGCAGCAGTTAGATGCCCTCTCTTCCAGGCTGCCCCATCTGTGGCAGTTCTTCTCTTGCCAATACTGGGGCACTTCGAGAAGCCTTTCTAAGAATTCTCTATAATCGCTCACAGGTTCTACCTTTTTCCAACAATGAGGCACCTCGACAAACCTTTCTCTCCATCCTGCTAATGTGGTCTCTTTTAATCTTGCTTTCTGACCATCCTTCGTCTTCCCTCTTCCTCCAGGTTACCCAATCTGTGGCAACCCTACAACCTGCTGCCACAAATGCATCCAACACCACCTCTGTTCCCACCACTCCTCCCACCACACTACCTACCCTTCCTGTCAACACAGCACTCCTCTGTTGATCTTGCCTCCCCGCCCATCCTCCTCCATCCCCCCCCATCCCCCGCCCTCCAGGTCACCCCATCTGTGGCAGCCCTTCAACCTGCTCCTACAAATGCATCCAACACCACCACTCCTCCCACCATGCCACCTACCTCTTCTGCCAACGCTACAGCCTCTCCTGTCAGTTCCACAGCCGGAAACAGCAGCACAATGAGCAACATCCGCGCTGAAAACACCACCACCACAGTCAGCAGCGACACCACAGCTAGCAGCAACACCACTGGAACCCAGCCTTCTCCCCGGCTTCCCAGTCTCCCCTCCCCACCTGCAAACAATGCAACCTCCTTGCAACCTCAGCCTTCCTCCATCTTCCCCTCCTCCATGCCCTCCCCACGTCGCCCCTTCACGCGTCTCCAAGGCTCCCGCTGCTTTCGCCTGCGCCTCACCCCTCCCCCCGTCGACTCCTTCTGGTCTGTCACAGTCTACAACGCTTCCAATCTCAACCTTCTGGAGGGAGTCAGCAAGTTTGGCGTGGGGGACCGCACACCAGGCCTGCTGGTGAGCTTCTATCTTGCTTGCGCCTCACCGCTCCCCCAGTCGACTCCTTCTGGTCTGTCACAGTCTACAACGCTTCTAATCTCAATCTCCTGGAGGGAGCCACCAAGTTTGGTGTGGGGGACCGCACTCCGGGTCTAATCGTGAGTCTCTCTTGCTTGCGCATACCTCCTCTTGATTCCCTCTGGTCTATCACTTGGCTCAATGCTTCTTCCCCACCCCTCCCCCGGTCGACTCTTTCCGGTCTGTCACCACTTACAATGCATCTAATCTCAACCTTCTGGAAGGAGTCACCAAGTTTGGTGTGGGGGACCGCACTCCAGGACTGATTGTGAGTCCCTCTTGCCTCCTCATTCCCCATAACGCCTCCAATCTTAATCCTGATTCTCCCATAACCGTACGAGAATGTCCCCAACTTTAATGTGGGCGACCGCTGGTACTTCCACCGTCCTTGCCAATCCCTTCTCTATAGTCTTTCTGGTTGGTCACCTGGTGTAATGCTTTCCTTCCCACCCCCAGTCCTATACCATGTCTGTGCTTTTTGAGGCACTGCAAAAACTGGTCCATCACAGTTTCATCTCGTGTTTTAATTGTTAATCTCGTTCCATGTGTGCATTCCATGTGTGCATTCCAGTCTGTGTTTCTGCCACACGTGCGATTCCATGCTCACTTCTCCATGCAGCCTTCATTCCACTCTCCATCTTTCCCCACCCTAATCCCTGCCGCCTCTCTGTGACCCTGTGCCTCCTAACCTTTGCTTCTCCCCTCACGGCAGTACAGCCCTGATGGCACTCTCACCATCTATTTTGTGCTTTAAGTCGATTTAAAACACACCAGATTCCCTCGGCTCTCCCAACCAACCAATTTGCTTCTTAATCTGCTCTTCTGTCCTGTCCCCCTCACGGCAGTGCAACCCTGACGGCACTCTCATCATCTGCTTTGTGCTTTGAGTCTGACTCAATCAACTCATTCCCTCGCCTCCATTCCCTAATAGATCCACACCTGTGCTGCCCCCCTCACTGCGTACAACCCTAACGGCACTCTCACCAACAAACCCCTGTGCAACCACGTCTGCTCTGTTGTCCCTCCCTCTCCTCTCTACAGTACAACCCAGATGGAACTCTCACCATCTACATTCAACCCACTTCGCCCGGCCAATCGCTCGAAACCAACTGGATTCCTACTGTTAACTCGGTACTTCTGCTTCTGCCTTCAAGCTGCCTTGATTCTAGCTCATCCTTTCTTCTCCTTCCCTCATGTTTCTTTAGCTCCGTAATGTTGCACCGCATAATTCCTCGCACTCCTTTCAACTGCCAGTATCTATTTCTCCAAGTCCGTTTCTACTATCTCGCCCATATGCTCTTTTTACATCTCATACCGTACCCTCCTATGACATTGCACCTTTGTCTGCAGACTAACAGTGCGGCGGTGGTGAGGGCTTATGGCCCCTCTCCTCAGATTCTCAATGGGGCATATGAACCGGAGGCGATCCAGCTTAGCCCTACATGCGAGGTGTAGCAAAAAAATGCTTGAGAATATCCCATGTCATTGCACAGTTGATGGCACATGGCCCCAGGGCCTCAAATTTCAGCGAAAAAATGCTGATTTAAGTAAAAACATTTGAGAATTCAGTCTTGTTATAGAAACCTAGGCTGTTTTTTCGGCATTTTTTTGGAAAGATCCGGGAAAAGTTATAAGATTTGTAGTGTAACATTGCATTAAATGGCCGATTTGTCTGATTTTCAGCAAGTTGTTTTGTACCAACTCTGATTTTTTTTCAGACTAGTCCAAAACCAATGTGCCACAAGGCCATGTGTTCGGGCACGGCGACAAGATGCATCTACCGGACTTCTTGAAGAAGCACGCTTCAGTCGACAAGCGCAAAATGCGTGCAGATGGCGTGGATGCTGACGTGAACCCTGCTAAAGAAGAGTTTATCCTTCATGAGAGGCATCTCGAAGGCCACTGCTGGCAACTTGCAGGCATGCTATGCCCTTGCCAGAGGAGGATATGTTAATACCAGAAACTTATAACACACCCACCAGGCACCACGGCATAGGCCAAGCACAAGTCGTTTGGGAGGTAACTCACCTGGCGCACTTGAAACCTTGTGTTCAAATAGTTGAGCTCGCTGAGGATGTCCGCGAGAAATCGGAGTAGGAACTGAAATTTGAAGGAAGTTACCACCTCCCACAGAGTGGCGGAGTACTCCTTCAGCGCGAGCATGGCAGCTGGCAACACGTCAAGTAGCCGATCGATTGCTTCACACCTTGATAGCCACCTGACATCATGAATCCCCTGCGCCTCCAGGTTCGTTTGACAGAATATGAGCTGGAGCTGCATGAAGCGCTGATTCTTCACGTGAGTCCTGCCGACCATGTCCGCCACACCGCGGACAACGTCGTCGACGATGTTGAGCTCGGGCACTTGAAGCGCCGCTTCCTTCCAAAGCCTCCCTGCGACAAAGCGGTGCATCTTGTTAGGATTGAGCTACCAACGGTGACGCAATGTATTGTATCGATGAAGAAAAATGAAATCCACTCACCGATGGGCGATGCAGTGAGTGGACGCGAGATGTTCAATCTCTGTCCTCGGGCGGACACAAGCACCGCTCTGTGAACCAACCATGACGGAAGCTCCGTCAGTGGCGATCGCGACGATCTTCTGCAAGTCTATGCCGACTTGTCTCAAGTACTGCAACAGCACAGAGGTGAGCGACGTAGCGTCAGTGCGTTCCACAGAAAGGAGAGTGAAAAACTCTGTGACGACCGCCGTTTCTTTGAAGAATGTGGCGTAAAGGATCATGTGTTTCCCGTGGACACGATCGGTGCTCTTGTCAATGCTTATCCTGAGGCACGGCGAAGCCTGGATGTGCTGAAGTTGTCGCTCAAGCAGATGGGTATATATAGCGCTGAGGTGTTGCTTGAATCCGTACCTGCAAGGCATCATGCGAGGGATTTGTTAGGCCAATGCGTGCATGTGCAACTGCATTAAAGAAATGGTATTCGCTAAAACAACAACTGTACCCACTCTGTGTAGTACGATCCGTACCCTCCGTTTGGAGGGAGATCGGGAAGACCCTCCTTGGCGAGGAACCAGCAGAGTGGAACAAAAAGCGCCATCGGTGCGTCTTTCTTGCAGACGAAATGGGCGATGTGGAGACATCGTATGAGATGACGTGTCGAAGAATCCGTGGCCTGTCACCGCGTGAGAGTCACCTGCCGCGCCTTAGCAGCTTCAGCATCGCTTTCTGCCTTCAGCGCCGCCTTGTGAGCAGTGCTGCCGATGTCAGCACGCATGCTCCCAAACTGCAAATCTCTACCACCGTCACCTCGACTACCGTAGCTCGTGTTAGCGTTAGGATCGCCAAAGAGCACACAAACCGAGCATTTGAGAGACGGCCTACCGTTTTTCATGCAGTGAAGCTTCAGCCACGAGAACCGCTTTGACCAGTCGGTCTCGTAGCGGTGCTTCATAAAAGCAAACTCTGCATCCGCGTCCGAAGTTTTCACGGCAGGGGAGGATGGTGGTGGTGAAGCGTTTCACGGAAGATCCGGTTTCCGAGGTGGTGGAGCGCCCCACAAGTGTTGCTGGGTGTATGTCGTCCGCTTCCTCTTGGCATATTCATCGGGGGAGGTTCGTGGTGTGCAGACAGACGGATTGGATGAGCCTTCACCGCCACCTGGTATAAGGATGACGGTTGGATGCTCTTGGAAAGTGGTGGGTGAACAGGGAGGCTCAAACAGGGTAAACCACTCGTTCTAGAAGTACGGGCGATGAAGCGCCCATTCCAGAACTAACAGGCGGCAGATCAACAGGTGGATCTCGTCGACCAATGCCGAGCACGCTCAGGCCATTCAGCTGGCCTGATAGCGCGTCTTCGTCATCCTCGTCGCGAGGCATTCTAAGCGTGCTGAGAAACAACAGACAGAGGTGTGGAACAGAGGCGAACGGGCTGGGATGAATGACAGTGCATTGCAATAGAAAAGCCGAAACCCCTCACCATTCCAAGCGTGCATGGCGTCGATGACAAAGAGGCAACAGACACATCCATCCACGTCCAAGTGCAGTGCGCTCCATCCCTACACGACGGGGCCACCACCACAGATGCAATGCGCTGTTAAGAGGAAACACAAAGTGCTGACAGCCAAAGCTGCCGCGAGGACGAATAGCAATGACAGCAAGAAAAAACAAAACCACCCACCTTGACAGCACAGACTGTCGATGGGCGGAATGCTTTGTTGCTTGTACAGCTTGGCAAAGTCCTACAGTTACGCGTGTAACTATAGGTATAGGGATTCGTTAAAAGGGTACTTTTTTCCCAACCCTGACTGGTACGAGTAACAAAACACGCACCCTGATGTCCAAAGGGTCATAAAATAGCTTCACTTTTTGGGGAAGGGTTGCAATATGGCTGGCCTTACAAAATCAGGGTACAAGGAAAACAATGCCTCACAGAAAGGGGAATCAGGGCAAAATACCCTTGAAAAATAGGCCTTGCGTCAAGCACGTTTAGGGTTTCAGTGCTCGTGTTATAAGGGCGCCTTTGGTTACTATTTTCTTTTCAGCAGGGTGAGATTGCGGTTTTCCCAACTGGCCGATGCCCCTGCCATCTCGTGGCCATTCACCTCTCTCGGGTAGTTTGCCATATGGTGGCACAGGCACCACAAATTGCCTGAGAAGGAAAACGTGGGGAGGTTTCGAACCCCTTTGATGTCGTCGCCAAACGGCATGTTCTGCAGCCAATGCCATGTCGTTTTGGTTCGGACGGCATCGACAGGCTTGACACGATTTTTTGGGCTGCCCCCCAAAAATTCAACGTTTTGGCAGCTTCTTGTGAAATGTTGTAGCCCTTACTGCCGCTGTCACTAAGATCGCCACTACGCGCCGCCTTGACTACACCACTTGTCTCGTGGCTGCTCCTCCTACCAGTAGTCCTCTGGCCGTTGGGGGTGAGTCTGCCCTTGGCTGTGACGCCCTAGAGGACAGGCAGTTTGAGCTGGAGTTCCTGGCAGCCGCTTCCCCTCATCTCTGTGCCTTGCTGCTCGCCCCTGAGGGAGACCCCGACGCCCTTGACATACCGACTCCTCGCACTTACACTGAGGCAGTGTCAGGGCCTTGAGCCTCTCAGTGGAGGCCATGGACTCAGAATTGGCCTCCTACAGATCCACAGGCACCTACGTCAACGAGGTTCCCCCCCCTGGGGCGAACGTAGTCGATGGCATGTGGATCTTCAGGGTGAAGCGGCCACCGAGATCTCCTCCGGTCTTCAAGGCGCGCTATGTGGCTAGAGGTTTCAGTCAGCGCGAGGGAGTTGACTTCTGTTAGACCTTCGCGCCTACCCCGAAGATGACTATTCTTCGGGTGTTACTTCACGTAGCAACACAGAGAGACTACGAGTTACACTCTCTCGACTTCTCCACTGCCTTCCTTCAGGGTAGCCTACACGAGGAGGTCTGGTTGTATCATCCCTCTGCCTTCACTGGCACTTTCCCTCCTGGGACCCAATGGAGGCTGAGGCGACCGGTCTACGGTCTTCGTCAGGCACCTCGTGAGTGGCATAACACCCTTCGCTCTACCCTGTCTGACCTCAGTTTCCAGCCGTCTTCTGCTGACCCGTCGCTGTTCGTTCGTCGTGGCTACGCTGGAGCCATGGCTGCACAGGAGCTGTGCTGGTTGACCTTCTTGCTCACTGACCTTGGTGAGCGGCCGAGCTCTGAACCAACCTTGTTCAATAACAACAAGGCATCGATTCTCCTTTGTCGAGAGCCGCGACTGGAGAGCAGAGTGAAGCACATCAACGTCAGGTACTCTCTTCTGCGAGAATTGCAGAGGCGTGGACAGGCTCACTTCGACTTTGTGGAGTCCGAGGCCAACACTGCAGACATCTTTACCAAGGCCCTTCCTCCTTGTGACCACCAGAGGTGTTGTGTGCAGTTAGGTCTTGCTAACACAGGTTCTCGTCTTGTGTAGACTTGAGTTCTCTACTTACTTTGTTTGTATACTTTGCATATACCTCTGTGAACTCTTGAACTAGCCTTGTGGCTCTTTTGCTTGTGCTCGGACTGTGTGGTGACATTGTGATCCACCTTGAGCTATGTTTCTTTCTGACTGGTCTTGTGACCGTACGGTTTTGGTTTTGCTTGACACCCCTCACTTAGGCTATGGGGGTGTGTCAAATGTTGTAACCTTTA